GCCTCCACCGCCGGGGGGTCGCCGGGGAGGCGGAGGGCGCCCTCCTGGTAGAGCCGCTCGAGGATGGCCCTGACCGCGTGCTCCGCGTCCGCGCGCTGGGCGACGGCCCGGGCCTCGGCGGTGTTGCGCGCGAGGAAGCGCTGATGCTCATCCAGGGCCCCCATCAGGCAGCGCGCCGCGTCCTCGCCCTGCAGGCTGAGGCCGTGGATCAGGCGGAGCAGCGTGTCCCGGTCGCAGCGCCCGAGCTGCGCGGCGTACGCGCTGGGGATGGATTGGCTGAGGTGGGTCGCCTTCTCCTCCCGGCCGACCAGGCGGCGGGTCCGCCAGAGCGACGTGACCATCTCCTGAGCCTCCCTTAACATCCCCGCCTGCGCCATCGCCGCGCGCTCGGCGCGATAGGCGAAGTGCCGCAGAGAATCCTCCCGCGCCGCCCGGGTCTGCTCCAGCGCGTCGAAGTCGACCCCCTTGTCGATGCACAACGTCGCGCTCTCGCGGATCAGCTCGTTCAGGGAGTCCATCACCGACGTCTCGAGGTGGTCCATCCGGTCGCGCAGCTCGCGCTGCAGATCGTGCACGTCGTCGATGTTGCTAAGCATTTTGTTGTCGTATTTTTCGATCGAATCGGTCAGGATGTTGTCCGACACTTTTTGCCGGGTCGCACATTCGTCTAGGATGGTTTGAAACGCCTTAATTTTGTTGTTGTAGCGCTTCGCTTGCTTCTCGGAGCGTTGCAGTACCGTCACGAAGGCCACGGACAGCTCATTCAGCTTGCCGTGGATCCAATTTTTTTCCTCCTCGTTCGGGGTTTGAAACTGCTTGAGAAGCCATTTAGAAACACTCAGTGGGTGCGACTCAGAAGCGGACTTCGGGGGGTTCCCTTCAACACGGGGCGTCGGTTGTGGGCTCGTGGAGAAAACCCTCGCGATATCCTGCTCAGGCGTCCACAAGGGCTTTGAGAAGAATGCCTCAATTAGTTTGTTCTCTTGAAGATCTGATTCCATGGGAATGGGAACAGCAGGTTGGGTGCTGGAGTTTTCATAGAGCTCCCCATTCCCTTGAAACTCCTTCATGACCCTCCCCTTAGTTTTGCTTGCGTCTTCCTCATGTCGCAGAAAATTGCTCTTAAACTTTAGAAGAGATAATTCATCGCATAGGTGTTTTCCCGCCTTCTGTACTTCAGAGAGAAGCACCATGACATCATTTAGTATAGTGCCGCTAAGATTAAAAGCAAACTGAAGCCTTTCATTATTCTCCATACAAAAGAGACTATTTTCCTTTACCAACTTATTGATTTGGGATTGAAACGGCTCAAACGACTCCTTACGGAAAAGTTCTTCGATAGACTGCATCTTATTTCTCCAGTGCTTCTCCAGCTCGGCCGCACCACCCTTGTGAGCCTTTAAAAACCCTGACATGATGTTGCTCAGTTTTGAACGAGGATTTGCGCTTTTCGGTCGCGCATTTCCAATGGTAATACTACTCAGCCATCGATTTGTGATTTCCAAGATGGCATCATCATCGTTTTCCGTCTCTGTTGAGCTATTGCGACTTTTTTTCGCTGTTTTTGTGTTAGAACGGGGATAACGTTTAGATACGGGACGAGGGTTTGATCCTTTCCATTTATTGGATCGCTGCGGAGACAAAGGGGTAGTGGGAGATTTTGATATCAGCCGTTTGGTGCTCTTTTTCCCGTTTGGACTCGATTTACGACTCTTAGCAGTGGAGGTCTGTTCTTTTTTCTGTGAATCCTGTCGTACCACTTGGCTGAGGTCTTTGATCTCAGGTGTCTCAGTAGCGCTTTTAGAATGCATATCCTGCTCTCTAAGCGACATCATCCCTATCTCCAATGAGTTCGACTGTGGCGAAGCAATTTCTTCTTTGAGGGACTCCGGCGGTGGGATTGTGAGGCTCCACGGAGAAGTTTCTCGACAATTGCTACCTATTACGTGCACGTCATCCTGGCTAAACGATGTAGAGGGCCTTCTAGTCACCACGTCCGATACATTCTTATTCAGATTTATATCACTAGAGGAGTGTCTGTTTATTATAGAAGCAAACATTAGTGATTGTGGGATATCACGATTTGGCGTATGACTTCCAGAAGGTAAAGCCTTCAGCATGTTTTTAGGAGAACTATTGAGGATTGGTGGTAGGGGTAATTGGTGAAGCTCAGGGCTTGCTGACGCGTGAGATAGAATACCATTATTCGCATTTGAATTTAATGATATATTTCCCTTATTACTAACTTCTAAGTCGTTTTCAGGCGTAAGAAGACGGAAGTCGACGATACGGCTCCTGGAGTTTATTCTAGATTGCATGCTTTCCTCCGAATTGATGTTTCCTTCCTCAGAAATAAATAACTAATTTTACAGTACTATTGTGTGTGTATCTTTATGTCAAGCAGTGGCTCCTGAAGCTATGATGTTAAGGTAACCCTTTAAGCCTATTTTCACATCTACAAAGAAAGAATCTGAAAGGATTTACCATCGGTTGCCAAACATTTCGATAAACTAAAAAGTGATGACTCACCTATTGGTTCAAGTACGAGAAGGATACCAAGATAACCATAATAAAATATATACGTATATATATATATACATATATATCTACACGATGATACAAATTTTTACAGATTTATATCAACGTCACTGATGCTACATTAAAACATTATAAGTTCATGAGTTGAGGAAAAAGCTGTAGAATGATGAAAAAGGAATGCATACAATTCCAATTTAGCACCATTGAAAGGATATAGCATATATAGCTATAAATTTGCTCAAATTGTTATTGACTAGCAATTTTTTTCCCCTTATATGATTATAGTATTAATTTCACGAACAAGAGAAATAAAAAACTTACCAAGACAAAAAATGAGAAGAGTTTTCGTCTAACCGCAAAGCATACCCTTTTCAACTACCATTTCGCAGCTAACACCATGGATAGCTTATCGGTATCAATCAACCACAAGGAAAAGAGTAATAAGAGAAAATATTTACAGAACATTTATATAGAGCCCCTTATACTCTCTCTCCACCACAAAAAAATTTCACAGTCACATAACACAAAGAACAATGCTCCATAAAACAGTTTATTTCCATTTTAGTCACAGTTAGGATGAGTGTATATATAAATTCATGTCTTTCATAACTATGCATTTACTCATAAATATCTAAAATATCGAGATAAAGAAATATTTTTTTTCTTATTCTTTAAGCATGAAATACCCTTTATTATCTCAAGCACATCTAATGTTATTATACTTTTTCATTGTTTCTATTAATAATATAAAATTTCGATCAATAGACATGGGTTTGTTGCACTAATTATTTTTCACATAGCTCCCTTTTCATCGTCCAAGAGTTGTAGTATAAACACAAGCAGATGGGTACTATGCTACGATATAAATACTTTCCTTTTGAATCTCTCTATAAGAAAATCATTAGCTTTCATATACCTATGCTAGTACTCCCCTCCATCCACTATAAGACAATAAATACGAGGCAATTTCAGACCCACACCGGTATCACGCACACCATCATAGGCTTTGTTTTGTTTGTCCTCCCCACCTTTCCGCGTCGTACTAATTTCAGCCAGCAAGAGCAAATCCACCGGCTCCATCTCGTTGTGTTCAATCAGCACCGTCACCCGGGTTGAGTAGCGGGGAATGGTGGGGATGCCTCGTTTTTGGAGGGCAGCGTAGACTTCCTCGTCGCTCAGGGGGTTTGGCTGGAACTTCTCAAACCATGGCTGATCCGCCCCGCCGGACTTTCCATCTTCCCCCCGACTTCGTTGGGTTTGAGTGGAAAGGGGGCCTGGGGCGGCGGAGGACGTTTTGGCCGCCTCGGCCCCCGTCGACGTCGTCGGGGACGCCGACAAGAAGAGCTGCTCGTCGAAGCGAGACCCGAATTGGGCCTCCCGCCGCGGGATGCAGCTCGCGTAGACCGTCAGGAGCGGTTTCAGGAGAAACGGCGTGGACAGGACGACGTCATCCACCTTTGGTTGGTCGGACATCTCGCAGACCGTGCGTGAGGTGTTCACCGCATCACTAATCGCGCTGAGCACGGAGGAGGGCACCGAGGGCTGCATCTCCATCTCCTCCTCGTCTTCGGCAAGGGTGCCGTCCCTCATGGAGCTCACCTTCCGGTGCATGGCGGTGAGGACGTCTTGGACCGTCTTCGGCCCCCCGCAGCCCTGCACCACAGTGAGGTCCTCGCAGTGGGGTTTGTGGAAGCGAACGCGGGTGATGGAGTGGTAGCTCTCCGGGACCACCCAGCGCTGCTGGGAGACGTTCGCCCGCTGGAGGGCTTCGCTCTGCCAGGCCTTAAGCGCCTCCACGTGCTCGATCGGCGTGAGAAAGGCGGGCGGGCCCTCTCCCGCTTCCCTCTGCGGGCTTGCCTGGCGACGCCGCGGGCT